CCGATTCAAGTCTTCTTGAATTTTGGCAAACGCTTCATGCAACTCTGAGGGATGGAAGGAAAGGTAGATTTGGGAGTCATCAGCGTAAAGGTGATGGGAGCAGTGAAGGATTGAATTATGGATGTCATTGATATAAGAACTAAAAAGGAGGGGAGATATGCTAGAGCCCTGGGCCACCCCTGCGGACAAAGTAAGATAGGAAGACAATGGTTGATTAGGAATAGCGACAGCTTGTGAGCGTTGGGAGAGGAAAGATTGAAACCATAGGATAGAACTATGGGAAAAGGATAATGATTTTAATTTGGAAAAGAGAATGGAATGGTTGATGGAATCAAAGGCTTTGGAAAAGTCAATGAGTATAAGGACAGTTAGTTTTTTGTCATCAATGGCGGACTGAACATCATTAATGATTTTGATTAGGGCGGATTGTGTGGAATAACCTGGTCGGAAACCAGATTGGTAAAGGTCAAGTTTATTGGACTGTTCAAGGAAGTTGGAAACTTGGGATTGCACAATTCTCTCCAGGGGTTTGGAAAGGTTAGAAAGGATTGAGATTGGCCGGAAATCTTCAGGGGAAGACGGATTAGAATTTTTATTTAAAGGAAGACTGTGGCTTTTTTCCACAAGGAAGGGAATACTGAATTTTGTAGGGAAAAATTGTAGATGAAAAGGAGTACCGGAAGGATTTCAGGGAGGCATAATTTAATTAATTTGAGGGAATGCCCTGGACCAATAGAATTAGAGTGTGATTTCATCACGGCGGATATGAGGTCTGTGGGAGAAATATCTGAAAAATAAAAATCGGCGTCATTGAAAGATGTTCCAGGAGGAAAGAAAGAAGGGAGAAATGAAGGAGTTGAACAGGAAGCAGATATAAAATAAGAATTTAAGTCATTTGATGAAACTGGGGGCACTGCAGAGGGAGGAGATCTGGTAGGATCACAAAGAGAGAGTTTACGAAGGAGTAGCCATTTGGATTTGGAATCAGGAGCTGAGGAAAGGGCTTCATGGAAATAGGTAGATTTGGCTCGTCGGATTGTGGTTTGTGTCAGGTTGCGGAGCGCCCTGAACGCTTGATAGTCATCAGGCAATCTAGTGCGTCTAAAGCGTCTATGGGCTGCATCACGCCTCTTCTGAAGATCCTTAATTTTCTGACACATCCAGGGAGCAGGAAGGCGACGAAAGGTGGAGGTTTTGAGAGGGGCATGGTCATCACGGATATTAATAAGATTGGAGGTGAGAATGTCAACCATGGAATCAATTGAGGTACAGGAATATATTATATTCCAATCTAGGGATTCTAGGGAAGGTAAGATTTTTTCCCGAGTAAGGCCATTAAGGTTCCGGAAAGTTACCGTTCTCGGTAGGATCGGAGGGGATTGGATATTATAGGATATTTGGATTAGGTCATGCGACGATAAAAAGGAAACTGGTAATTGGGAAGAGGAAAGGAGGTTTTGAGCAGAATCAATAATGTACAGGTCCAACCAAGTGTCGGACCTAGCGGTGTGATGCGTAGCAGAAAAAGGAACGATAAAAAGATGAAGGGAGAAAAAAAGGTTTTCTAGGTATGATTTGTCGCTGGAGTCGGAGAGGAAGTTGGTGTTTAAGTCACCGGAAATGATAATTTTGGAATTAAAGGGGCACAAAGTTAAAGAGGGAAGCTTCGAAAGACGGGTCAAACGGAACAAGAGGAGGACGATATACCACGGAATAGAGGAGATGAGAGGTGTTACAGGAGATTTCGACGATCAAGAACTCGACTTGTGGCTGATCGGTTGGAGAAGAACGATGGAGAATTCGGGTCTTTAGGCTGGTATGAACGTACAGAGCTACACCTCCGCCAGTCCGGTTGTACCGGTCGTGGCGGATTAGGGTGTAGTTAGGAAGGGAGACTGAAGAGGAGGGGATGTAGGGCTTGAGCCAGGTTTCTGAAATTGCGATGATGTGGTAAAAGTTTTGGGTAAAATATTCTAGGAATTCATCGTAATGGGCTGAAGGAGGATGAAATGGCCCAATACTATCAGGAGGAAGTGGAAAGGATGTCACGAGATATCTACCAATCATGGGATAGCGATGATATTGAGGAGAGCTGGACTGAATTTAGAAATATCATTCTTGATGCCGGGAGACTCGTCTGCGGTCAGAAGAGCATTGGGCCAAATTTCAAGCCAACTGCTTGGTGGACAGAGGATATAAAGAGAGCTGTTAAGGAGAAGAAAGCAGCTTGGAAAGACTTAATGAGCCAAAGAACACCCATTGCTCACCAAAACTACAGAGAAAAGAGAAAGGAAACAAAAAGTAAAGTACTTCTAGCCAGGAGGAAATCGTGGGCACAAACTTGAAGAAAACGCAAAAGAAAATCAAAAACTATTCTTCAAAGCAATCAAAGAAATGCGCAAGGAGAGACCCACCACGATTACATTGATGAAGAATTGCTGGAATCCATAGCCAAGATGAAACTCGGCAAGTCGGCGGGACTGGACGGAATCACTCCAGAAATGATGAGGTTTATGGGAAGTAAAGGCCAGGAAATGTTTCTCCATCTTGTGAACCTGGTCTGGAAACAGAAGATCCCGAAGGACTGGGAAGTCACAGTCATAGTGCCAATATATAGGAAGGGAGACAACAGGGATTGCAACAATCATCGAGGTATTTCGCTCCTTAGTGTTCCTAGTAAAATATACTCAAAAATCCTAGAGACAAGGGTCAGAAGCACCGTAGAATCTAAGATTGGAGAGGAGAAGTATGGATTCAGGAGTCAAAGAAGCACACAGGATCTAGTTTTCACTATGCGACAAATCACAAAGAAGATTGTCGAGAGGGGAAAGGAACTCTCTGTGTGCTTTGTAGATCTCTGCAAAGCCTTTGACCGGGTTAAGAAAAAGGATATACTTGAGGCTCTAGTTGAAAAAGGTGTGAATAATGGACTAATAAGGGCCGTAAGCAGTTTATACGGAAATACGAGGAATCTTGTTAGAACTAGAAACCATACCTCTCGAGAGTTCAAAACAACACTGGGCATACGACAGGGTTGTAGCCTGAGCCCACTTCTTTTCGTACTGGTTCTCGATCTGGCGCTGGGAAAAGCAAATCAGAAGATGCGAAGTTTTCAATTGGGTCACAGAGATATGCAGCCTACTCTATACTCTCTGCTGGCATTTGCGGATGACCTCGTCGTATTGGCCCAGAATGACCATGACCTCCAGAACAAATTAATATCCTAAAGGAAGATTTAAGAGAAATCAATATGGAAATTAACCCTGCGAAGACAAAATGCATGCGCATTGGAAGAAAACCTCACAGGGTTATGAGGATATTGAGGGTCGACGCCTAAGCAGTCGAAACCATAATAGATGAACACAAGTTGAGATGGTTTGGGCACCTTCTACGTATGGACCGGAACAGAGTCGCAGGGAAGACATATGAGACTCACGTGCAGGGTAGGAGACAAAGAGGAAGACCCAGAATCTCCTGGGAAGAAGGCGTACGAGATGCATTCCAGAAGCGAGGTTTGGAATGGAACAGGAGACGAGAGCTGGTACTGAAAAGGTCTACCTGGTCCAAGCTCTACAAGAAGCAACCTCACACTGCATAGGCGGTAAAGAGGAATAGGATTATGATGATGATGATGACATACAGAGAGCAATATAATATTCAAAACGTTTGAATTTTATTTTTTTAATAAGTTGCTGTATTAATAGTATAAAATTAATTTATTTCCTGGCTTTTGTATTTTTTTATTAATCCCAGCAAGCGGTAGTCGTCCAATATTGGTGCCTTCCGATATTCGCAAGGCTTACATGATCCAAAGGCCTATACCTGTTTTTCACAGCGTATCAATAGGAAGAACTGTTTTTATTGAGGTGCTGGTAGATACATCATCGTAAGAATAGGTGAAATAGAGAGTGAATCTGAAAATCATGCAGTTAGCCCGAAAATGGCCTCAAGTACCAAACGAAGACTGTTTTTTTAAAATACCTAAATTAAATATATATTAAAAAAATATCACTTTTAATTTTTAAGCATGATTGTCCTTTTTTTTAAATAGTTCAATTTATCCCTATGAATATTTGTTTTTCATTTCCTTTGGTTTAGAAGAAATGGAACATTGAAAGAACTCAAATGCCAAATTCAAGTTGCAAAAAACAAAAACATTACCTGCCACTGATCCTAGTTCAATTCTGTCCAGAAAATATTTCGATTTGTGGAAGATAATCATTCAATACAATTATTTGAAGTACTTGCAATACATACAAAGTAGATGCTCCTATATATATGATCTTTCCATTCTTAGAAAAAGTATATTGACTTGGAAACAAACAGTAATTTCAACGAAGGATTTATTACATGACCTTGCTTCTAGGTTAGATGAGACCTACACTGTTTTGACTGGCTGGTATCAATGGAAACGGGTAATTTATTTTATCTTTACTTATAGCTTTTGTTTATAGGAATAATGATGGGCCTATTATGTTCTTCATAATAACATTTTTTTTTTTAGAAATTTTAAATTATCTACATTATAATTGTTTACCAAAAAATGTTAGCAGTCATAACTGGACAACAGGTTATATATCATCAGGATATATCATGGTCATATGCAGCCCCCCCCCCACTCCATTGATTTTGTCTATATTATGAATGAATATATATATATATATATATATATATATATATTTTTTTTTTTTTTTTTTTTTTTTTTTTCGGTTGGCGCTACAGGCCATAAAGATCTTTGACCACGAGTATGGTCTCCTAGACTACATCCAGATTCCCGATTTAAAGTACGGGGTAGCTTCATCAATCCTACGCCCGGTCGATGTGAATTGCCTCCAGTAGTCTGTATATATATATATATATATATATATATATATATATATATATAATAATATTTTCTGTACAAACAAAAACAATAGTGTAACTAAGAAATATGAGAAATAAATCTTGTTTAATTTTAACAATTAAAAAAGACTTATAAAGAAAGTTCTGATTATACCTACATGAAGTAGATGGAACTGAAGTATTAGATACACTTTCAGCACCATGACCTAAACAAATAATAACATTTAAATAACAAACAATTCATTCCTTTTATAGTTGGTATAATAAATTAGAACATAAAGTTATTATAACAATAAAAAATATATAATTAATAAAAATCTTAACTTATTCAAAAGCTTGAACAACACAACCCCATGAAACGTTCTTATAATAAAGATAACAATGAACAAATTGTCTAACTAAAACATAAAAAGATAGTCATACACAAGAAAAGAAAATATCTTACAGTGTAGAAAACAACTTTCATGTCATATAACCATAAAAAAAACTTATAAATATTACCAATCATAGATTGTCGCTGTTTTTCAAAACATTCTTCTAAATCCCTATATAGTTTATTTTCTTTTCTGGTTTCAGCTTTAACAAAAACAAACTCATCATTTGGAGCTATTGAGAAAAAGGCCCGACTGCTGCAAACACACAAATCAAAAATAAACAGAAGATTTGACATAACATTGTAATTTGGAATAAAAAAATTAATGATAAATATATATATTATATTATATATATATAATATAATATTATATATATATATATATTATATATATATATAAGAGAGAGAGAGAGAGAGAGAGAGAGAGAGAGAGAGAATAGAATAGAATAGAAAATAGAACTTTATTCTGGGACTAAGTCCCCTTAGAATAACAAAGATGAATTAATACAAAATAAAATACAATGAGGAAACGAGGAGCTTGCGGATAGGTTGTGGGAGATGCTGACAAGAACGATGAAATAGTTTAAGTGTACCAATTGACCTTCGGGAGATATGAGCGATATGGGGTTTCCATGATAGGTTTTGATCAATGGTAATTCCTAAGTTTTTTACAGAGGAGGAGAAGGAGATTGGTTGGTCATTAATCATCAAGGAAGGAAGGGTGGAAATGGATCTAAGGAGGGAGTTGGAACCTATAAGAATTGCCTGAGTTTTTGATGCGTTTAAGTTTAATTTATTCAAGCTTGCCCAGGCACTGATCCTATCTAGGTCTTTCTGAATATTCGTAAACGCTTCTAATAACTCAGTGGGTGGAAAGGAAAGATAAATTTGGGAGTCATCGGCATATAGATGGTATGAACAATGGTGGACTGAACTAGGAAGGTCATTGATGTAAGAATTAAAAAGGATAGGAGAAATGCTTGAACCCTGGGCTGCTCCATGAGACAAAGTGAGGAAAGAAGATAAGGGTTGATTCGGAATACTAACAGCTTGAGTCCTGTCAGAGAGGAAGGATTGGAACCATAGGATAGAACTATTGCAGGATAGTGATTTTAATTTATTGTAGAGGATAGAATGGTCTAAGGAATCGAATGCTTTGGAGAAGTCTAGGAGTAGCAATACAGTCAGTTTTCTTTCGTCAATTGCAGTATGTATGTCGTTTGTGATTTTGACTAAAGCGGATTGAGTGGAGAAGCCCGGGCGAAAGCCAGATTGGAGAGGATCTAAAAGTTTGAACTCTTCGAGAAAATTGGAAATTTGGGATTGGACTATTCTTTCGAGGGGTTTTGACAGATTCGAGAGGATGGAAATTGGACGATAGTCTTTAGGAGAGGTGGGGTTAGGGATTTTGTTAATAGGACGGACTAAGGCTTTTTTCCAAGATGTAGGGAAAACAGAATTTTGAAGGGAAAAGTTATAAATGAATAGAAGAACTGGAAGGATTTCAGGGAGGCATAATTTTAACAGTTAGACGGGTATTCTGTCAATTCCTATAGAGTCGGATTGGGATTTCATTCTATAGAGGGGATGGGAGGAAATAAGGTTCGTAGGAGTGATGTAGGAAAAATAGAAATTGTCACTATTAAACGCATATGATACAGATATATGGGAAGAGGTGGGAGAAATATTACTAGAGGAGGAGGATAAAAAGTAGGAATTTAAAGCATCAGGAGAGACTGGGACAGCTGTGGAAGAAGATGATTTGCAAAGAGACAGCTTTCGGAGTAAATTCCATTTGGATTTGGAATCGGGAGCCGAGGAGAAGGCTTCATGATAGTAATTGGTTTTCGCTTGCCTGATCGTTGTTTGCGTCAAGTTACGGAGTACCCTGAACGCTTCGTAGTCATCTGCAAGCCTGGTTCTTCTAAAACGTCTACGGGCTGCCTCACGTCTCTTTTGCATATTTCGAATTTCTTGACGCATCCAAGGAGCAGGTTGGCGGCGGAATGTAGAGGTTTTAAGTGGGGCATGGGTATTGAGGATATGGAGGAGATTAGAAGTCAGGATATCTACCATGGTATCAATTGAGGAGCTGGTGTAAACATCATTCCAATTCAGGGTTTCGATATCGGGTAAGATGCTTTCACGGGTTAGGGAATTTATATTGCGGAAGATTTTATATATATATATATATATATATATATATATATTTTTTCAGTTGGCGCTATAGATCATGAAGATCTTTGGCTGTATATATATTCTCTATTACAGATACTATATTCTCCTTACAGATATATATTGCTTATGGGCGCACAGAGAGTCTGTATGGAGTCACCCAAGCTAACGTTGCTACAAATGGTCTCCATGGTACAGCGGCAGGCCATCTGTAGCTCCACAGCCGATCCATTTGGGGCTATCTGGCAGTATCCTTCCTACCGACTCAATTGGGTTCAAGGACCAGTGACAGATTGGTCTAAATTCAAAGATTTTAACTGCTGGAGGTCGTTGATATAGGAACTAAAAAGAAGAGGAGATATGCTATAGCCTTGGGCCACTCCTGAGGATAGAGTAAGATAGGAAGACAGGGGTTGATTAGGGATAGTGACGGCTTGAGAACGTTGAGAGGAAAGACTGAAACCAAAGAATAGCGCTTTTGGAAAAGGATAATGATTTTAATTTAGAAAAGAGGATGGAATGGTTAATAGTATCAAAGGCTTTGGAAAAGTCAATGAGTACAAGGACAGTTAGTTTTTTCTCATCTATAGCGGATTGAACATCAATAATGATTTTAATTATGGCGAATTTTGTGGAGTAACCTGGTCGAAAACCAGATTGGAAAGGGTTGAGTTGATTGGAATGTTCAAGGAAATTGGAAACTTGGGATTGCACTATTCTTTCAAGGGGTTTTGAAAGGTTGGAAAGGATTGAAATTGGATGGAAATCTTTGGGAGAAGGGTTAGAATTTTTATTTAAAGGACGAACGGTGGCTTTCTTCCATGAAGTAGGAAATACTGAGTTTTGAAGGGTGAAATTATATTATAATTATACGAGTAGCAGAACAGGAAGGATTTCGGGAAGGCATAGTTTGATTAATTTGGCCGGAATGCCATCTGGACCAATAGAATTGGAATGTGATTTCATCATGGCAGATATGAGGTCTGTGGGCAAGATGTATGAAAAGTACAAGTCGTAGTCATTGAAGGATGTGCCGGGAGATTATATATAATTATATGTTGCTCTAAAACAGACAAATGCACTTCTAATTTAGTCATGGCTGAAATGAGTACAGAACAGAGTATGGTGTCTAAATAAGACAATTTCTTCCTCCTCACAAATCAATCAATAACCTACATCGTAAAAGCTTGTTAAGCAAAATAGCAAAATTGCCACTCATATTTGATTTATCCCCATAAAAATAAAAGTACTGACTTGGTTGAGGTTATTGATCGTCTTGAAAAATTAGGTAATTAAGAAATAAGCTTGATAAAAAAGGATAGGGAACACAAATATTTTAAATTAAATAAAATATATTAAAAAAAAAAAAAAAATTACCAGACATTTTTCACAAGCCTACTCTTACGGAGAGCTAGATAAATTTGGTCCTCTAAAGAATGTTCTAATTTCTTTAGACGGAATATTTTCTCATCTTTGTCTTTCAATCTGGAATAAGAAAATGACTATATTGTATCAATAAACATTTAATCATATATTTTTTAAATTTTATTTTATTTAATTATTTTTGAAACAGTTGACTATAAGAATGAAATCTGACAGAATCAGAAATTTCTATTTGACATTAGTATCAGGGTAATCAACACAAATATTAAAAGTGAAAAAAGAATGGGTTGTATTTTAACAGGGACCAAAAATAATTCTAAACAATAGAAAGCAACTAATACTGACTAGGGGAGGTTACAGACGTGGGGTCACCGATTTGGATGAAACCTTTTTTGATAATACTAGGTTGAAAAATGTTAGACACATGTCTGAGGGTACATGCCAATACACCCTAGGAACTGAGAAAAAAAAAATAATAATAAGCTTTATTGACAAAGCCTCTCCCTAACGAGGAATTTTAATGGAGTTGGCTATAGCACAGAATGGTGATATTCAACATACATCGTCAGCAAATCTCAGGTTGATCAGTGTTTTCCCACTGACTGATATTCTCTGGTTCTCCCAATTCAATTCTTTGAACAGTTTAATTAAGAACACAATTGAATAAAATTGGAAATAGAGGGCACCCTTGTTTGACTCTTCGTTCAACTTCAAAGTAATCATCTTCCCTATCTAAAGCTATAAATGCTTTTCCTATATAGTGCAATGACACATTCGTTTAGAGCTTCCCAAACATATTCATGTTTGATCGAATCAAATGCCTAGGAATAGTCACCAAAACATAAGTAGACTTGCATGCCATATTCTCTACTTTTCTCGATGATCTGGTAACACATTGCAGTTGATCTATTGTACTGAATGTGGGTTGAAATCCAACTTGTTCTATATCATGGTCCTGCTAAATAGTGTTTATAATTCTGTTTTTTTTATTAATTACAGAAGAGTTTAACAAACTTTGGGTTAGTGAGGTAGGGTGAAAGTTCTCTAAATTTTCCGTTTTTATGCAGAACAATCTTGCTCACTTTCCACTTTTGTGTGTTACTAACTTTTTGTTAATTATTTTATTTAAGATAATACTTTTGGAGTTTTTACTAATAATACTTTTGGAGAGGTTTTATTAATGCTTCTTTCCCTTCAATAATAAGCTCATTAGGAATACCATCACTACCAACTGCCTTTTTCTTTTTCAAGCATTTTATTGACACTTCTATCTCTTCTTCCAGAATACTTAGGTCCTCGATGTTTTCCTCCTTTGCTACTTTTGGGTAGTTCCCTGGTTTTGTTTTGCTTTCATCCTTGTATAAGTTCTTATAATACTTAGTTATCTCTTGCACAATTTCTTATCTTTTTGTTATATTGATTCCTTCAGTCGAGTTGATCTATTAATAAGCTTCTTGCTAAATGTATCAGTCTGAGCCTTGATTTCTTTTATGGATCCTGTACTCTCTAGACAGTCATATATCACTTTTCATTATAATGTTTGAGATCGAGAGCAATCTTTCTCCTTACTATCTTGCAAATCTCAGCATGCTCTACTTATTGTTCCAATGATTTGTTCACAATTCTATTTAATCTTTCTCTCTCTTCTATAAGTTTGCGGGTTTCTTCGAATAATTTATTGCTTTGTTTACATTTAGTTCTCGGAGTCTTAGTTTCTGTTCCATGTGCATCTTTAATGCATGTTATTAAGTTGAAGTATATGTTTTCTATAATTTCTCTTTCATCAAATTTGACATTCTGATTTTTTTCTAAGAAGATTTTTGAGATAGTTTTCAGGAATTGTTGAGAAAAAAAAGTAGTTTATATAATTTCAAATAAAATTTATGTAATTAATTTTTTCCTTTGCTTTGCACGGATTCTTAAGTTATTATATACCCATTGATTAATTTTTGTGCAGAATAAGGAAAAAATATTGATTTTATTGTTAAATGAGTTATTAAGAAACAAAAACTAAAAAGGGCTTTCAGTAAAGTAGGCTATGTAAATTTCTGCTATGAAAAAGAGTTACATTTGTTTTTAGTTATTTAAAACTCATAAATACAAATTTTTATAGAAATCAAAAATTGCAAATTTTAGTACTTGATTTTCTAATGTTCTTGTTATTCCGGGAGTCAACAAAAGCATGCATAACTTCTCAAGATTGTATCCAAATTCAATGTTAGTACAACCACTGGAAAGCTGAATTACCACTCTTCCAAACCACATAGGTTTTGGAATTTATTCCTTTTTAAGCTAGAAATTTAGTAAAACTTCTCAAGCATTTTTATTTTATATGTTCGGCTATAATTTGTTTATGTTGGCAGGAGCCCTCGGACATGGGTCTAATATTTTTTGACGTAGTATTAGAAATAAAAGTTTCATTCAAATTGGTGAGCTCACATTCATAACCTCCCTTTGTGAGTCTTGTTCACAAAAAGATAATTAAAATAATTTATATATTTGATAATGCATAGTATCAATCAAGCCAACGTGTTTAAAGTAAACTACAATCTAATTTAAAAAAATAATAACAACTTATGTAACCTCACTTCACTTTGTAAAAAAAATCTTTCTCAATACTTACTCTGATATTTCATAAGGGCATCCTTCAAACAGAAATATTAGTCTAGGTGAACAAAGTCGGCCATAAAGAACCCAATCTTCACTGAATTCATTGCAATTACCAAGCACTTTAGATACAGCAGCTTGATATTTAGGTCTAAAAGTATTAACAATTAAAAACAGTAGATATTAATTGAAATATAGTTAAGTTTAAAATAAACCTCAAATCTATTTAGAAAATAAAGCATAAATGATTGAAAGAATATTCAATAAAAAATAAACTAAAAAAAGCAATTCAGGACATAAGATCAGGACATGATTGATGTTGCTTAACCCTTTAAGTATCTTGAGGCCTTTAGGACCCTACACTATTTCAATTGTTACAATAATATTTGAAGAAATCCTTTGACAAAGGACAATCATTTCAGGCTGTCTTCAATGTGTTCCAAGTCTTTGAAGAATGAGTTAGGTAATAAATGAGGCAAAAATAAATCGCATAGTTTCTAGATAACAAGTAGGTGTATACCTTAACTGTTAAGTAGATATGGATAACTGAATTAGGTAGCATGACCAATGTTGAGACATTGACACTGATAAATAACAAAAAACTCTATGCCCTCTTAAAGAGACTGAATATAACAAGATTCATTTGACTTGTAAATTTTCAACTAGGTCTCAATCTTAGATCTCTTCCAACCAGAGATGAGTGAGTACTGAGTCCCAAGTATTTTACTCAACTATTGACCTCCCTGATTCTAAGTACTCAGATATTCAACTTACCCGAATCGGAGTATTTTACTCAAATGTTAAACTGTCAGACTTTGAGTATTTTACTAAAATAGCTGATCTGCGCCAACTTTGAATACCATACTCATGGTATATTATAAATTATAGTTTCAAATACCATATAAAGAAGAAGAAAAGTAAATTTTGTTCTGGGACATTTAATTCTCTAAGAATAATTATAATGAACAAAAAGATGAAATATTTTTGGCATTATAAGAAAATAAAAAATAATTAGTTAACAAAATATAATAATGTAACCTTAAAATTAAAATCAAATAAGTACAAGTAAAACATATAAATTTGTACATAAAAATATATAAGTGTGTTTACATATTTTTACTGATTTACAATATTGATAATATGTTAGTAACAGTAAGATAACAGTCAAATGAAGGTAACAGCTTTTAAATACAAAATTCTATTCTTGCATGTATTCGGAAGATTGGTTACTGAGGAGGTGGATCAATAAATGTTGTTTGAATGAGGTTAAGGAAGAGGATTTGTGTATAGAGGTAGGTAAGAAATTCCAAAGAAAGGTAGCACGCATGACAAAGGATTTTTTAAAGGAAACGGTTCTATGAGAGAGAACAAACAGGTTTATGGACTGGAATCTTGTGTTATATGAATGAACAAAGGAACAAGGAGAAAATAAATCAAGAAGATAAGTTGGCCTTTTGATTGTAAAGGTTTGGAAAAGGAATACACCCAGGAAATATTGATGCCGGAAAACTGGATAAAGCCATTTCAACTCGACATACCAACTGGAAATGTCGGAATGCGTGGGGATTCCAAACAATTCATTAATCTCTTTAATCTAGTCTGAAGCCCACCAGACAGTTAACTGCATACAAGGCAGCCATAATCGAAGTGAGGAAACTTGGAGTTGGCGGGTTTTTATTTTATTTAGTGGCATGGAATCACAGAAACTCAGGAACTGTTTTAGGGTAGCAATAGAATTTCAGGTAATTTGGGAAACATGATTATTCCAGGACAGGTATTCATCGAAAATTTCTCCGAGATTTCTAACAGAGGTATGGAAATGAATAGGTAGTCCATTGAGGTAGGGGATAGTAGGGGATGGAATTAATAAGATGCTTGCAACGAAAGAGAATGGCTTTGGTCTTTTCAACGTTCAACTTTAAATCAATACCAGCTTCCAAGTAGTAATACGGTTTATATCTTCTTTTAGTCTTCGGATTGCCTTAAGCATCTCAGTAGGATAAAAAGAAAGGTAGATTTGGAGATCTTCAGCATGTAAGTGGTATTGTGAACGATGGATGGAATCGGGAAGGTCGTTGACGTATATGGAGAGAGAAAAGATCCCTGAGGAACACTACGAGTTAGTGAAATGGGGGAAGAAGGAGTTTTACTGGGAATAATGACTGTTTGGGATCTGTGATACAAGAAGGAACGGGAAGATTTTAGGACGCTATTTGATACGGAAAGATTTTGGAGTTTGGAAAGGAGGATTTCACAATTAACAGAATCAAAGGCTTTTGAAAAGTCGAAGAGGATCAGGATGGAGATTTTGTGTGTCTACGAAGAAATGAAAATCTTGGGTGATTTTCATCAAAGCAGATTGGGTGGAGAACTGGGATCGAAAACAAGACTGGAAGGGATTGAAGAGAGATTTTTACTCAAGGAAAGTATTAAGCTGTGAATGGACAAGTCTTTCAAGAGGTTTTGAAAGGTTGGACAGAATGGAGATGAGATGGGTCTGAAACCGGAAACTTTACTCAATGGGCAAACTATAACATTTTTCCAAGCTTTAGGGAAACTGAAATTTTGAGGGGAAAAGTTGTAAATATGCTGAAAAGATGACAGGGAGACATAGTTTGACTAATTTCTCCCATATGCCCATAGTTAAAATATATAAATTATATTAATAAATGTGCCATTGTTCTAATTACATAAATATTGTTGAATATAGACTTATAATTGTTTAACTCACTACTAATAACAAATTTCAGATTTCTTTTTTAAATATCGACATTATGATCACGTTATGCGTATATATCTATTTAAAATTTTCATATGTTTTTTTTTTTTTTCTTTAAAAACAGTTTTATATGTTTTTAAAGACTTGATTTTTTTTTTTAATAATCTCCATTTTATTATTACACCACTGCGATTTGACTTATATGTGTTTTTCGGATTTCTTCCATGTAATGGTATATTCATATTTTTTCGTAGCTGTAGGTTTTGAAAATAATCTCCATTTTATTATTAAGCCTCTGAGTTTTTCGGATTTTTTCTATATAATGGTCTATTTATATGTTTTCATAGCTGCAAGTTTTGAAAATGATGTCCATTTTGAGATTATGCCACTGCGTTTGAACTTATTTGAGTTTTTCAGTTTCTTCCATTTAAGGGTCTATTTATATGTTTTCGGAGACATAATTTTTAAAATGTTCATTTTGAGATTACACCACTGTGTTTTCAATTTGAGTTTTTCGGATTTCTTTCTTATGAGGGTCTACTTATAAATTTCAGGAGCCATAGTTTTTGAAAATTATGTCCATTTTAAGATTAAGCTACTGCAGTTCGACTTATTTGAGTTGTTCGTATTTCTTTCATATGAGGGTCTCTTATATGTTTTCGGAGCAGTAGTATTCAAAAATGGTGTCCATTTTATGATTATCCAAACTGACACAGGTCAGCTATTTGAGTAATAGTCAAAGTTGGGCATTTTAAGATTTGAGTACTCAGATTTGGGCAAGTTGAGTATCTAAGTACAGTAATCAGAATCGGGGAGGTCAACAGTTGAGTAAAATACTCGGGACTCATTACTTACTTTGGAGTTTGCCCATCTCAGTTTCCAATGCAGTTAATATAATTAATTTTTTTTTTAATTGCTGCAGCTTCAGTTTATTCCATTTATTCATAAATGTACAAATATATGACAAAATTTTGTCTACCAAACACTCATAAAACAAAGGAACTTAACTATCTTATTACCATTTAGATTATTGGATAAAAATTTATCACATTTACAATTACAGTTCACAACTAAAAAAAAAATGCAAAAAATAAATAAATAATCTAAATAGAAAATAGAAATGATCCGGTGTGGCATTCATTATTAAAAAAAAACTCAAAACAGTGGAAACTTTGATTTTTTTTTTAAAACTGCCACCCCACACCACCTCCTTCCTCAAAATATACTAAGGTCAACTATTGAGTATTCAAAATAATGTATATAGCTAACAGGTATGACTTACCTCACATAACTTAAAACTTTTAGCAGTTGGATGATATTAATGTCTGGACTGTAGTTTGAACTTATAAAGAGGATAATATGGGAAAAAGAAAACATGAAAAGCAAAGCCTGGGCAAAAGAGTTCTTTATCTTGCTCCAAATGTTTAAAAATCCCTAAAAAAAATAATAAATAATTAAAAATGTTTAATAACTCTTTGCAGTCCCACCCATGTTTGCAAGCATGGTGACATGGTCGTAGGATAGACTTATTATTAGCATAAACAACCAATGTGTCCTTTTGTTTGCATTACTACCTGGTAGACCTACAGTATTTCAATGGATAACACATATTATAATAATGGCCATTAAAATTTCGTATTTTCTTCCAAGACTAAATATTATAAAAAATTAATTTTTATAAATATGTAAGTAAATAGAATTACATCATCTATACTGCTTCAGTCTCCCTTTTTTTGCTTGTGTGACGCTGTTCTTCCCATAAAAATTCATGAAAAAAATTTAAAAATTTCTTTATCTTCGATTACAAACATATTGTGATAAAGAATCAAACACAGAATAACACTCAGAATAGATCAAAATTCTAAATGGTAACAGCACAAGAAATAGGTCCTGAGGCACTTAAGTAAGTGATTGCTTGTCAGTTTTATTCCAAGTAGCCTAAAATCACTAATAATTGGATAAATGAAAAAAAAAAATTGGGAAACCCATATCAAGGAGAATTAGATGTGAAAAACGCTACGGGTGGTATGCCTAGTCATTCCTTACACTTTCCTATCCATCACTACCTGATATCAGAGTCCATTCTTTAAAGCTTTCTTCTTCAATGTAAGAGCAGTTGGTGGAGATAAAAGTACCTTCCTCATTCCCTAAACTCTCCTCACACTCACTACAAATTATATTTTACTGACAGGATTACTGATAGTTTTACCAATTGACAACTCTATATCTATTATAACAACGATTCTTGATGAAATTGGTTGCCAGGATTCTACACTTTTATACATTTCGTCCTCCATCACAAACGCTACTCCTTCCTTTGCTCTATCTCTCACACCGATACCAGAGTACACTAGGTAATGTTTGATGTCCACTTCCTCTTTTCCTCATTTCAGATAGCCTCATTATTTCAACTTCGTGCATTTTAATTTCTTCCACTTTTCCTTTCACTTTCCTTTTCCTTTCCTGTGAGCGATATAATATTATATACTGAAGCTGCGTAATATAAGTTCCTTTGAATCATTTATACTACATATGGGTGACTGGTCCAGTGGTGGAGGGCCCTTGCTGAGGGACAACAGGTTGCCGGCTATACTCCCAACACTGAGTCTTCCCAGGAGAGGCGATCTTGGGATGTTTACTGTATTTGTCCTTAGAGCAAGTGTTTGTGAATAGTGTACTGTTCTGTTATGTGTAAGTGCGCTATGTACTGAACTCAGGAGACTGGAGGATCATTAATCCCCACTAGTGGAGCCCATCCACTAGCCCTTGAGGGCAAAAATTACACACAAACAATTGAAAATTATTCATATTAGTTAAAAAAGACGCTAATATTACTGTACATACATGTTAAGCAGTCAACTGTTCTATTGATTTCAGATATTACCTCTACTGTTACTTTAGCTATAAGTTCTGAGCTTGGTTTATTAATATAATTTTTATATCAATAATTTCTCAGTTTTGGTATATTTTCCCCAAGTTTTTTTGACAAAAAATGATCTGAAAGTAAACAGAGGTGACCAATTTTCAGAACACTTTGAGATTAGAGCAATAAAAATACCACCCAATGATAATCCAAATAATTGAAATAATTTATGGCAATTAAAATTATTACTGCTTTAATCAGAAAACAACTGTCCACTTAGAGTGGCTAAGCTTGCTGAATATGCGAAACCCCCACAGATACTTTTTAACTGAGATCGGAACCTAACTAAGCGGGGTCCTTTTGTTCCAAGGGTGAGTTCAAGTCGACAGTTGTGATCAAATTAAAGTAGTAATAATTTTAATAATGCGAATGAACTTTACAAGAGAAAAAGAAATAAATAAAGAAGACACACATAATTACGCTATGATGCCATGTTATAACTGACAACATAACATAAGGTTGACTGCTTAATATGTAAGCGCAAACATTACAACTAAAGTTCAATGAAGAATAAATGTCACCAATACAGGACAATACATTACATTTTTTTTAAGATCGTCCTCCATTTTACTTAACATTTTCATTAAATGTTTATTATTTAATGGCCCAGTCAGATTTAAGAAAACAACATTTTCTTCTTTGTCAAAATATCCATCAAATTGACACTAAAACATCAAGAATTAAACATTAAAGAAAAATATATATAGAAGGAAGCTAGTCGACTGTTCTACATACCATGGGTGATAAATAGTCAGGACACAGTCATTATACAATTTTTTTTATTTGAACCAACGTTTCAACCCAAACATGTGGTTCATCTTCGGGGCTGAAAATTTTAAAATATAATCGCCCCGCAATTCCATAACAATAATCTAACCAAACTTCACAAGATCCTGAAATCCAATGCCTTTCCTGATCGCATTATAAAAAACCTAATTAAAAATGAATCCAAACCTCATCTTCACCAGTCTTCCACAAACTGCTCTCAATCTCCCACCACGATTCGCCAATACAGATCCATTCCATACATCCCAGTCCTATCTCAAAAAATCAAAAAAGCTTTAACTTCCAAATTCTCCCATCTACAAATAGTTTTCAAAAATAACAGTAAACTAAGAAATCTATACACTAAACTCAAAGTTCCTGTTCCGCTCCTATAACAATCAAATATTGTATACCATATCACATGCTCTAGCCCAAACTGCAATTCTTCTTATATAGGAGAAACCAAAAACTATTTTAAAAAACGAATATATCAACACAAATACAGCATCTCCACACGAAACCCGTTCGCCTCGAAACTTGCTGACCACGCCATAACCCTCAACCACACATTTAATTTTCAAAACCCAACCATACTTGCCACAGTTTCCAATCACAAAAAATGACTACTTTCTAAAGCTATATTCATCAATTTGGAAAAAAATAACCCGGTAAACCACAAAGTAGACAAAGAAAAGATCTGCAACAAATATTCAAATATTTTCCGCCTCCTAAAACAATAGACTACAATAATTAAAATTTTGTTTTTCATTTTCCCGTCAACTTACATCGGTAATTACTCCTACGTTTATTACATATATATATACATATAATGACAAATAACAATATAAATATATACCATAAACAGACACAGATATGTTTATAGTCATACTATTAAAACTATGTAATCCTTAATATAATACATACTTCTATTATGATTAATATTGTTATTTTCAAAATACTGTATAATATATTGTCCTACGTATGTTTTCAATCCATTACAATTGTCTTTATTATAAATATTATTTGGCTAACCATTGTATACCTTTAATCAAACAATGTTATATTTATATTGATTATGTTGATTATGCACCTCTTAATTATGTTCATTTCATTACTAGCCAATATTCACAATTTTGTAACCATAAGAAACAACGTAAATCTTGTATATACCTAAAATATTTAGTCAGCAAATTATTAACATTCTACAAACAGAAATGTTACCTCCCTCCCCCTCTGACTATGTTTACCTACCTTTTACTATCTGAAAAAGGACAACTGGGAAATCCTCTCCCGACCTTTCCACTTACCTACCAAATCAGTCAGTACTTTAAAGCCTTCAGTGCTCGAAACACGGTTAGTAAGAGAAAATATTACAAATTTTTATAAATAGATTATATATTATTTTTAGTTTGTATAACTTTTTACATATTTAATTTTTAATATTGTGTATTGTAATAATAGTTAAGATTCATGTACCAGCAATCACTATAGTTTATTATTTACCATTATCGGTCGTATAATATATCTCAGATTGTATTTTAAAATTTTCATCCCTGAAGATGACCCACATGTTTGGGTTGGAAAGTTGGCATAAATAAAAAAAATTGTATAATGACTGCGTCCTGACTATTTATTACCCATGAAAAAGTATATATAAGTAAATATAAAATTCACCAAAAAAAAAAAAAAAAATTAATATGTTGTTATTTAGTAGTTATGCGCACAAAACTAAACTTTATAATAATGCCAAAAAAACAATAAACTAAATTTTAGATAAAGAATATGAAGATGAAATAGAAAAAGTAATAGCTAACATGAAATTAGGAAAAGCAGCTGGAAGAGACATCTCAAGATCTGGGACGAAAAATTTTTTCCAAAGAAATGGAAAAATAAAATTAGCATTTCCATCGACAAGAAATGTGAATGTGACAATTACCAGCGCATCTGCCTCTCACCTGTTATTTACAAACTGTATACAAGGGTTCTCAACAGATAATAGACGATGACCTTAGAACACGTAGAAAGCAGTCTAAGTCAAGGAGACCCATTAGATTTTCTCCTTTTTAATTTAGCTCTACAATCATCAAGAAAGCTGGACTAAAACAGGAAGCGACAATGTTTACAAAGATGGCACAAGTTTTAGCTTATACATATACCGTAGTCATTATCAGGAGATCCTAACAGGGCTTAAGGCGGTCCTTTAAAGAACTTGATATAGGGACAAAAAAATTATATACTGTCATTTTCACTTTGACTTCCCTGTATATGAAAATACCTATCTATCCTAAGGTTGGTAAATGAAAGTTGTGTAATGTGTACACCGCACCAATTTTTTTTTCTCATAGAATTCTACAACAAATCTGTCTTGGTAATTGGCATTTATCAAAATCATAGATTTACAAGGGTGTAATAGGTTTTCAACACCAATGGGACAGGAAAAGAAGATGAAGTTACTGGACCTAATTTACTGTCATTTCACTACATTTGTTCCAATTTATCAAATAGAACTGTACTTCTAAGGTATTAGGATAAAAGCACCAGTAGCTAACAATGTACCAATATCCCACCTCGAAAAATGGGAATAATAAGATTTCAGTAGCCCCCAGACTTCTATTCCATAAATTTTTGGCTTCTATATTTTCTCCTGGTATATTTGTCTTCTTTGCTTTACTCTTGCCGGGAACCATAACCGAAGTAATGGATGGCAAATTCAGATGGTCTGGTAGTGATGAAGATGAAATACAAAGCAAAAATATGTTTCCTTATTATCAAAAAACGGTTCTTGACAGTCCAATATTTGCTGATAAATTTAAGTCGGAAAACGGAAGAAATTAGTTTATAAGTTAAAAGTAATTGTTGTTAATATATATTTTAAAATGAAGAATATAAAATTTCAATCATTTATTATGTACATCCTTGTTCTCATTCCTGTCAGATATAAGAATATTCTGAATCAAACAGTGTCAGCTACAGGTGCACTGAAATTATTCTTTAACTTAACATCTTTTAAAAATTTAGGTCAGTCTTTCATGGATATTAAACGTCTTGGCAAGGTGAGAAGTAGTTCTATAAGATGAATACAAGAAAAATACAATAACATCAAAATTTAAGTCTCTAAGAAATTTCCTTAAACATGTCAGCTACTCGCGCATTTACCCTGTTGTATATTACTTAAAGTTTTAATGAAAATCAGATGTTAAGATTCATAAATCTTTCCTCAATTGTCTTCTGTTCATAGTCAACTGGATTATTACGGCCCTGACCTATATTGAAAAAGACTCGTTGGGAATTCCTTTATCTCTTTTGAGCAAGCACAGTCAGTAGAAGTTGAAAGTCACGATGTGAATAAAAGGAGTGATATATAATATATTATGATCTAATTACCAACTGTTGCTAAACACTTATGTTAGAAGTTTGACCTTATTAATTTAGTAATCTCATTATTGTGTGTTGAATTCAGTTTAATGAAGTCTTTATGTTTCATGGTATTCCTTATTTATCTCTATTACTCTATAAGAAGGAGATTACATCTTTTAACATGGGTGACATTACTTGGAATTCAGTCTACAGCGTGATCTTGTGCCCAGCCATCATGTTGAAGTGACTCTTGTGACGTAGAACCCTGTGTTGCTCACTCGTATTGATTAGGAAGTTTAAGTTTAAGAGAGGCACCCATCAGAATAATATGTGACCTCTCAACAAAAAAAGTGAACCACAATGAAAGCAACAGATTCAGCAAACCTTGTCTCTTTTGATGGATATTGTTCAGAAGATTTAAATATATCAAGAAATCTAGACAAAATCAAAGATTGCAGACCTGAATGTGCCCAATCCAAGGTCTGCAAGATGTCACATCTTGAGAATTTAATGTAGGCAAGTGGGCGGCCAGTAGTTTTTTAAATTTTTTATTCTTAAATTTGTTATTGAAAAAATAACATCAAGGGTACTAGTTAGCAATTGTTGCTCCAGTTTGATGAGTGGACACAAGATCTCATCATCACACTACTAATAGAATTCCGAGAATGGCTGAGTGTGTCTGACAGTAGATGGAGGTAATTGAACCTTCTGGTAATGCTCCAACCTCAACTGCAAAGGACCAGCTAGGGGTTTTGCGCTAAGATAGCAGGTGGAAGTAAAAAGCAGTAAAGTAATTAAAGCTAATTAAGGTCTCAATTTTCACTAAAAAGGACTAGTAAAGAGTTTGTAGAAGTCATCAATCGTGATCAATATAAAGGGAGATTATACTTGGCAACATGTCAATATTCAACATTCATGGAATTTTTTTGTGGTTTGATCATGAGTACACGTCCCAACCCATCAAAGAGGAGCAAATTAATAGTACCAGTTCCAGTTCTCTTTCAGGGATGAAAGGGTACTCAAGACTCAAAATTTTTGATAATGATAGAAAAATTACTGCCCCAGTGGATATATTTTATTGAATAAATAATAATAATTAACCGTATTAATCAAATAGGTATATTTTCACAACTTAATAAAGGAAAAAATATTCTTCTAAAACAAATACCTATGCTGGTTACATAGAAATAATTCTGACGATGGTAGAAGGGTACAGGTGAGATGTGGGTCACAATGGTTGCACACACTTAGTAGAAACACTAAAAGTATTGGCATACATTTAAAATGACAATAACGAAAAGACTAGATACTCCCATTAAGCATCAAGGAGCTTTTATGACACCTCTATACAGAACAGAAGATGATAATGTAATAAGAGAACAGGAAGAATTAATTCATAGAGCCTCTAAACAACACTTTTCTACTTACACTTTTCTATACCTTAATAATAAAGCAATAGGTATGAAATACCTCATATTGAATTTAATATTAATACAAAAGTTACTACTAAACTTACAACAGATTTGTAAACTTTATCTTCATCATTAACTTGAGTTATTAATTCTTCAATGGTATCAGTAAATTTAGAAAAATGAACAGAAGGTGACAAATTTTTTATGGATGTTTTTTCGATAATTGAAACAACTACTACATTTCTATTCAGTTCATCTTGACTAAAGAACCTGGTAGAAAAAACAACTAATTAATTCAAATATATAGCCGAAATATTATTTTGACAGCAATGTAGGATACTGCACATACTTTAAGAATTCATCGAACGGTAAAGAAAACGGTTTAAAACGCATTATAAACCTTTTAAACTAAAACTTATTGCAGAAAAATAAACAATAATCCTAAATTAACATAGTTCAATGAAAAAAAATTGTTTAACTTTAAAAACACCTAAACAGTAGGTTTCAAAAACTGAGGGAAATATTCCAAGGAAGTTAAAGTGAATGAATGAAGACATAATTCAACTTTGGGCAACTTCATAACCTCAGAGCTGGTATCAAAATCAAACCTCGTTGATGAAATAAAATATAAAATGCCGACAACTTCGATGATATAGACACAACTGTAGAATGAGGGAAGACACAATATCATAGAAGTGTATGGGAAAGCGCAGCTAACAGACATGAGATAAAGAAGCATGTCTATAAGAACATATCCAAGGACTAGGTCAGGAAAGAGAGAAAATCCTAGCTTAGTTGAAGGAATTGCCGAGAGACCGAGATGAAGTGGTAAAAGTGGCTGGTGAATCCTCCACGCTCATAGACACATAAGAAGGAATAAAAGTACAACAGTGTTTCTCAGAGAAAACGATTTAGAGACTGTTAAGTGCTTTTTGTTTTTGGTGTATTTAGAATAGAATAGAATAGAAAATCAACTTTATTCTGGGACTAGGTCCCTTAATAATAACAATAGTGTTTAAACCAATTGACAATAAATCTGGCCAGATGACCTATTACAATAAAGAGTAACTAAAATCTAAGTAATAAAATGAGGATATACAGTTTTGGAGGGTATATTAAGGAAATCAGATGGGTATTAGGGTTACAATATTACTATACTGGTACAGAAAACAAAAACATACTACTAAATAACATTACTAACTAAATAAAATCGGAAAGAAACGCTGAATAAATTTTATAGGAAACCAATTTTTATGATAAAATATAAAAAAATAAAAAAATAACTTGAGTAAATAAATGATTTATATTTGTTCTTTAAGATATTTAAGTGAAAACATATGAAGGTATTGTGAAAAACTAGAGAAGTGTTGTGATCTACTTATGCCGCAGTAGATTACGAGCAAAAAGAAAAAAAAAAAAAAAAAAAAAATATATATATATATGTATATATATATATATATATATATATATATATATATATATATAATATATATATATATATATATATATATATATATATATATACAGAAAGGATTGTGCAGAAGATAAGTATAAAATAAAATACAATCTTATGATTAAAAAAGATAGAATGTAAGAAAAACAACAACATATAATATACCTACTGACAATGCTTTGTGAAAGGTGGTCAAAATTCTGTTTCATAGTTCTGTTAAAACAGAAGAAAAAAAATGTATAAAGAAAATTAAAACCTTGTTACATAATATATACTTAGCCAGGGTCTGATTGAATTGTGAAGAGGAATGTAAAGGTCACAAGGATGTGATCTTGTGAAGAGGGTATGGATTGATGATTTGAATTGTAGGAGATTGTATGTATAGGACGGACGATGATTATTGATTATTTGGTACAGGAATGTGCCTAGGAAATATTCGGAAGGAAGGGAAGAGCCACCCTAGCTCAGCATAGTGGTGAGAAACACGGCAACGTCTCGGGGTCCCAGTGATAAATCTTACGAATGCATCCATAATTCTTTTCAGTCTGTTCCCAAGTTCCGCCAAGAGGACACCGTACACCACGCAGCCGTAATCAAGGTGAGGGAAGATACTAGCAGTCTACGTGTGGGTATGGGTAGGAGATGACGAAAGCGATGTAATAGTTTCAATTTACCGATTGACCGTCGGGAGATGTGAGCAATATGGTGATTCCAGGAGATGGTTCGGTCTATGAAAATGCCTAGGTTTTTTACTAAGGAGCTAAAGCCGATAGGATGGTCATTTAGGTATAGGATAGGAATGTTAGTATTGGATCTGAGAAGTGCTTTGGAACCAATGACAATGGCTTCAGTTTTGGCAGCGTTTAATTTTAATCCATTTAAGTTTGCCCAAGCAGTGATCCGAATTAGGTCTTCTTGAAATTTGGCAAACGCATCATGCAACTCTGATCGAGAGAAGGAAAAATAAATTTAGGAATCATCGGCATATAGGTGATGGGAACAGTGAAGGACAGATTTATGAAGGTCGTTGATGTAGGAACTAAAAAGAAGAGGCGATATGCTAGAGACCAGAACCAGTCCTGAGGTCAGAGTAAGATAGGAAGACAAAGGTTGATTGGGAATAGCGACTGCTTGGGTGTGTTGAGAAGGGAAAGAGTCATGTATGGCGGATTGGGCATAACTAGTGATTTTGATTAGGGCCCATTGTGTGGAGTAAACTGGTCTGAAACCAGATTGAAGCCGGTCAAGTTGACTGGACTGTTCGAGGAATTTGGGCACTTGAGATTGCACTATTCTTTCCAGGGATTTTGGAAGTTTAGAGAGGATTGCGATTGGACGGAAATCTTCAGGGTAAGTAGGGTTAGAATTCTTATTTAAAGGACCGACGATGGCTTTCTTCCAAGGGGTAGGAAACACTGATTTCTGAAGGGAGAAATTATAAATGAAAAGTAGAATGGGGAGGATTTCAGGGAGACATAATTTGATTAATTTGGCAGGAATGCCATCTGGATCAATGGAATTCGAATGTCATTTCATCACAATGGATATGAGGTCTATGGGTGAAATATCCGAGATATAAAAATCGTCTTCGTTAAACGATGTAGCCAGAGAAAAGGAGGATGTTAATGGTGTGGTGACAGAGGAAGTAGATATAAAATAGGAATTTAGATCATCAGGTGAAACTGGGAATACTGCTTAGGAAAGTGATCTGAGTGGTTCACAGAGGGAGAGTTTACGAAGGAGTTGCCATTTGGATTTGGAATCAGGAGCTGAAAAGATTGCTTCATGAAAATGGGTGAATTCGGCTCGTTGGATTCTGGTTTGTGTCAGGTTACAGAGAATTCTAAACACGGACAGCGTCCTTTCTCCTCTGAAGATCTTTGATTTGCTGACACATCCAGGGAGCCGGACGTCTATGAAAGGTAGAGATTTTAAAGGGAGCATGGGTATGAAGGATAGTAAGAAGACTGGAGGCGAGAATGTCAACCATGGAATCTATTCCATCTCAATCCAGGGATTCCAGGCTGGGTAGGATTTTTTCCCGGGTGGGTAGGATTTATACAAACATTATTATCTTTATACCATACTGGGAGACTATTAACATATAGAGTGCATTTTTCAGAGGAGTTTCGAGGCTTCTGTCACTATCAGAAGTGTTGAGCCTACACATTTTACACACCTTGCCTGATAATGACAGTAAGATTTTGGCACTTAATGCATTGTAGGAATTCCGCTCTTTGTCACGACTCCTCGTTTTTATAGCTATTCGAGTAAACCAGATATTCGAACTTGATCTTTAATATTTCGGAACGTTTGATGCTGATTTTAGGTCGATGAAAAACAGAAATATTGGATGGTTTTCGGTTGGGTGGAACACACTCGATACATCCCTGACATTATATCCTAGTTCTCCAATGTATCTCTTGATAGTAGTAATATGAATTCATTTTAAAACTGACGTTTTTTCTTCTTTTAACTGATAGAAATGGCAGTGAAATTTTTTTTCAGATAAGTAGCAAAAGAGTTTTTTATAATTATCTTGATTCATTGACTTGAGTTTAATATGAATAATGAAATTAATAATTTAATAAAGCGGCATTCTTAAAAAATGGGGTCCTTTGATTTTTACTGCAAGTGATCTTGGTGTCATTGTATGCTGTGACAGAATATTATAGGGTAAAAGCACCAATAGCTGACAGTGTACCAGTACCTGGCATCCTCCTCAAAAAATGGAAATAATAAAATTTCAGGACCTCCTAGACCTCCTTCTTCTTCTTTCTCTTCCACCCATTTGCCTCTCAGCGTGGGGGTGCTTTCAGCCATCGGTTCCATGCATCCCTGTTCCCGGAAAGGTTTCTCATCTCTTCCAGGGTCCTCCCTCTTCGTCTTCCAATTCGTTCCAGATTGCTAACGTATGAGGTTTTTCGGTCTTCTCCTAACCGGTCTCACCTATAGGACGTATAAAGAAAATTAAAACCTTGTTACATAATATATACTTAGCCAGGGTCTGATTGAATTGAGAAGAGAAATTGGAATAAGAGGGTTTTAAATGTGGATAACGATGGTGCATGGCAGATTTTTAGTGAGTTGTTGAGTTTTTTTTCTTCTATTTTAGTATGAAACAGAATTTGGACCACCTTTCACAAAGCATTGTCAATAGGTATAATATTTGTTGTTGTTTTTCTTACCTTCTGCCTTTTTTAATCATAAGATTGTATTTTTTTAAAGTGTATTTAATTTATTTAAAAGTATTTTATTTTATACTTATCTTCTGCACACTCCTCTCTATGTATATATATATATATATATATATATATATATATATATATATATATATATATATATATATTTCTTTTTGCTCGTAATCTACTGCTTCATAGGTAGATCACAACACTTCTCTAGTTTTTAACTGGGTTGGTGGTCCATCCAGCAGACATGCCCATACCAATTTAGCTGTCTCCTCTCTAGAGTTTCCAGCACGGGGAGTATCTTTAGCTCCTCCCTGATTCTGTTATTTCGGTCACAATCTCTCCGCGTTTTCCCCACAATTCTTCTAAGAAACTTCATCTCAATGGCACTAATACGGCTTTGTAACCTCTCATTCAGAATCCAACCCCCTGCTCCATAAAGAAGTACTGGTAGGAAGATAGACTTGAACAGATGGAGCTTCACATCCTGTCCCACTTCTTTTTTTCCGATTACGGTATTGCATATTGTACAGTAGACGGAATTTCCTTTTGATATCGTGCTTGAGACTTCCGAATCTACTTTTCCCGACCTATTGATTACAGTAACCAGATAGGTAAGGTCTTTCACTACCTCCATCACCTCTTCGTTACAGACGTTCCGAATATCCTCTTGAAAAATTTTGCTTTTTTGGGAATTGGTGATCATTCCCTTCCTCTCAATTCTTCATTCCACTTTATTAATGCCAGCTGAA